TTTTTTGAGACAGAGTCTTACTCTGTAGCCCAGGCTGGAGTGCAGTGGCATGATCTTGGCTCACTGCAGCGTCCCCTTCCCGGGTCCTTGTTCAAGCAATTCTCCTGCCTCGGCCTCCCAAGTAGCTGGGATTACAGGTGTGCACCACCATGCCCAGCTAATTTTTGTATCTTTAGTAGAGATGGGGTTTCACCATGTTGGCCAAGCTGGTCTTGAGCTCCTGACCTCATGATCTGCCCGCCTTGGCCTCCCAGAGTACTGGGATTACAGGCATGAGCCACCACACCTGGTCCGCAAGAGCTTTTTAACCACTTTCAACCCCACCCTGACTTGCCCCTACGAGGAAGCTCTTCTGTTGCCCTGAACAGCCGCCGTCACTTCAGGTCTCTGGGAGCCCTCGGACCAGAGTTAGCACAGGTCAACTTTCCTGTCTTTTCTCATATGTGTGCCCCAAATTCCCCACCAGACTCAGAATTCCCTCGAGTCTAGATTTTGTGTCTATTCCTCTTTTTTGTGTTTGTTTGTTTTGAGACAGAGTATTGCTCTGTCACCAGGCTGGAGTGCAGTGGTGCAATCTAGGATCACTGCAACCTCTGCCTTCCAATTCAAGTGATTCCCCTGCCTCAGCCTCCCGCGTAGCTGGGACTACAGGCGCATGCCATTATGCCTGGCTAATTTTTTGTTTTTTATTAGAGATGGGGTTTCACTACATTTGCCAAGATGGTCTCCATCTCCTGACCTCATGATCCGCCCGCCTCGGCTTCCCACAGTGCTGGGATTACAGGCGTGAGCCGCCGTGCCCGACCAGATCCTTTATTTTCTCTGGCTGAATTCATAACTCTGCAATAAGTGGACACTCCTTTGCTGTTGATCAACTGGCTGCACATCCCTCTCATTGGTCCCCATAGTTGTCACACAGTCCCCTTCACTGCTCTGTTCTCAACCAGGGCTTTAGACTAATCCAGTTAGTTATGGCTCAATTCCCTTAACACCCAGCTGAAAATTTCACCTAAGAACACAGGTCTTCCATCTGTATTCTACAGGCCACTCTTACCACCTGTGTGACTCAGCACTAACATAATCAGCTTGTCATATTGTATCAAATTTATTTTTTTAGTGTTTATTGGCCAGGTATGGTGGCTCACACCTGTAATGTCAACACTTTGGGAGGCCAAGGATCAGCAGGAGTTTGAGACCAGCCTGGACAACATAGTGAGATCCTGTCTCTACAAAAAAAATTTAAAAATTAGGCCCAGTGAGATGGCTTATGCCTATAATCTCAGCACTTTGGGAGGCTGAAGTAGGTGGATCACTTGAGCTCAGAAGTTTGAAAACAGCCTGGACAACATAGCAAAATCCTGTCCTACAAAAACTACAACAGTTAGCTGGGCATGCTGGTGCCCACCTGTGGTCCCAGCTACTCAGGAGGCTGAGGTGGGAGGATCCCTTGAGCCCAGGAGGCAGAGGTTGCAGTGAGCCAAGATGGCACCACTGCATTCCAGCCTCCAGCAACCTGTCTCAAAAAAAAAAAAAAGGAAAGAAAAGAAAAAGAAAAAAAAGTGTTTACCCCAACTTGGATTTTCGTTGGAAGGGGGATTCAAAGAAAAAGAAAGGATTTATCTTGTAACTCTCTGGACTGAACCATATGAGCTCATCTTTGGCTCCCATGCTGTCTAGTAATTCTGTTTTGTGTAAACTTATTTTCCCAGCTGGGTGGTAGTGGTTGTGCTCACAGAAGGTACTCGACATACATCTATTGGTTAACTTGATGTCTCCCTCCTCAGGGACCCTCTATTCTTTTTTTTTGTTTTTTGAGACAGAGCTTCACTCTTGTTCCCCAGGCTGGAGTGCAATGACATGATCTCGGCTCACCTCAGCCTCCGCCTCCCGAGTTCAAGCGATTCTCCTGCCTCAGCCTCCTGAGTAGCTGGGACTACAGGCACCTGCCACCACACCTGGCTAATTTTGTAATTTTAGTAGAGACGGGGCTTCTCCATGTTGGCCAGGCTGGTCTCAAACTCCTGATCGCGGGTGATCTGCCTGCCTCGGCTTCCCAAACTGCTGGGGTTACAGACGTGAGCCACTGTGCCCAACCTGGGACCTTCCATTGTACTATTTTTATACTCTTCTGCAAGTACAAGGCCAAACCCTGGGTGTGTCAGTCTATGCTGCTGAAGATTGCCTTGGTTCCCTCTCCTCAGCCCCTTGTATCATCCCACCCATTGCCCACTTCTTGCTAAGCCCAAACCCTTTGATCCACTCACAAACCTGAATCTGCTGTGCCAGTTTCACAAAGGGTGCCAAGTAGGATGACTTGGCAAGGTGCAGGATGGACTGAATGTGCTTCACTCCCTTCTTCACCAGCTGTTTACTGATGCCAGACAAGTCCATGCATCGGTTGCGCCAGAACTCAATCTCCTCCAAAGGACCTAAATTTTCTCCTGTCTCCACGGTCTCCTGGGCACTGAGCACCTCCTTTATCTGCCGGGTCCAGTGGATCATGGAGGCTGCAGGGGAGAGTACAGAACCTTCTGCCTTTCTTTCTTTCTTTCTTTCTTTTTGAGACAGAGATTCGCTCTTGTTGCTCAGGCTGGAGTACAATGGCGCAATCTCGGCTCACTGCAACCTCCGCCTCCTGGATTCAAGCAATTCTCCTGCCTCAGCCTTCCAAGTATCTGGGATACAGGCATGCACCACCATGCCTGGCTAATTTTGTATTTTTAGTAGAGATGGGGTTTCTCCATGTTGGTCAGGCTGGTCTCGAACTCCCGACCTCAGGTGATTGTCCACCTCGGCCTCCCAAAGTGCTGCGATTACAGGGGTGAGCCGCTGCGCCCGGCCAACCTCCTGCTTTTCTTCACACTGCTTGCCAATAGCATCCTTCCCTCCCTGCAACCCCGACAGAGACCTCCCAATCCACCTCCACTGTCAGCATCTGGGCTTCCCCTTTCCCTCTCCGCTGTGATCCCTGGGTGACGCTGGCAACGCCAACCACTCACTCTCTAGCCGCTGTACCAGCTCTTTGTCCTTTACCACCACCTCAGGCTTCATGTTCATGGCCTCTGCAGGGATGTAGAGGACCGTGTGCCCCTCCAGTTTGTACCGAGTGTCTAAGGAAAAGAAAGGACTGTGGAAGTCCACAGAAGGGATGAGCTCTTGCTGCCCCAGCAGGGATCACGGTTGATGATCATGGGGGGCCAGGAAGTATACGCATCACAAGAAATTGTCGTAAAATAAAATCAAAGATCTGTATGCACCTTCAACACTCTCTACCACGAGACATGCAAGTCCACCCACTGTCCCCACGGCACCTATATTTCCCTTTCTCCCATATGTATTCAGAAATTTCCAAGTCTGCCGGGCACGGTGGCTTACGCCTGTAATCCCAGCACTTTGGGGAGCCGAGGAGGGCGCATCACGAGGTCAGGAAATTGAGACCATCCTGGCCAACATGGTGAAACCCCGACACTATTAAAAATACAAAAATAAGCTGGACATGGTGGCGCACACCTGTAGTCCCAGATACTTGGGAGGCTGAGGCAGGAGAATCACTTGAACCCAGGAGGCAGAGGTTGCAGTGAGCCGAGATCGTGCCACTGCACTCCAGCCTGGCAACAGATCGAGACTCCATCTCAAAAAAAGAAAAAAAAAAATGGTCCAAGTGTAAGCTGGAGTAGGTCTGGCCAACCAGCTCTACAGCAGAAAACTCCCAATTAGAAGGCAGGTCTTGTACCCTATTGTGCCCATTCAATAAGCATGCTGAATACTTCCTCCATGCAGGCACTCAAATGTATGTCCCACCACCTCGCTGGTTGTACAGCTGGGGGACACTAAGGAGAAACGAGTCACTCCGGTCTTCCCACTTACCTGTCAGGCAGGCCAAGAACCTATGCAGATGAGAAGCAAAATGATTTCGAATGCTCTCAGGCCAAGCTGTATTTGCAAAGATCTGAGGGGCAAAGACTCCACTGAGCAGCCGAAGCAGGGCTGGGATATAGGGGCCCCGCACTGTCCCAAACTGCACAGTTGCCTCAAAGTTTTCCGGGGTGATGGGGACCGGTACTTGGCGAATGAAGTAGACAAGCTGTTTCTGGGTCTGCATGGAAGACAGCAGATCAGAGTTCAGTCTCCAGACTCAGCCATGACACCCAGTCACGAAAGCCTGGCTGAGTTCTTTGTCAAGTCCCTCAAGGTATCCTCATCCTTCTCTAAGAGGAAGTGCCATGAAGTGCCATGAAGTGCTTTGTGTTCTTTTCAGGAATGTAAGATTCCATATCCAGAGATGTGGGGAGGAAATGCAGAGAGTATGCTTTGAGAGTAGGGACTGTACATTTTGTCCAGTTCGACTCTGGAACCTAGTACAGTGCCTGGCATATAGTAGATGCTCAATGTTTGTTGGATGGATGAATGGATGGATAGGAAAAAAGGGAAGGCCGGGCATGGTGACTCACACATGTAATCCCAGCACTTTGGGAAGCTGAGGTGGGTGGATCATGAGGTCAGGAGTCCAAGACCAGCCTGGCCAACATGGTGAAAACCTGTCTCTACTAAAAATACAAAATTTAGCCAGGCATGGTGGCATGAACCCGTAATCCCAGCTACTCAGGAAGCTGAGGCAGGAGAATCGCTTGAACCCGGAAGGCAGAGGTTGCAGTGAGCTGAGATCATTGCACTCCAGCCTGGGTGACAGGGAGAATCTGTCTCAGAACAAAACAAAACAAAAGGATGGAATGGATGAAGCACTTCAGCCAATGGAAAAAGCAGAAAGGAGAAGGACTGGAAGGAAGAGACAATTATCTAGCGTTTTCCATTTTGGTTGCGTATATTTCTCCCCAAATTTTTCATTTATGCTGTAATTTTGCTTATAGTGAGTTTTTGTTGTTCACATATAAAAACAAATATCTTTCATGTAATTAAATAGAAAACTCCATAAAGTTCTGACAGCTACATATGTAGAAAGTCCATTCCCATCCTAACATCAGACTCATCTGTTTTGGTTTTTTTTAGTGCTTTTGTGACTAGTCTTGACAATTTATTTAATTTTTAAAATAAGTAAAACGCAAGGAAGAAATTAATAATCATCCGTCTTCCTACTACCCAGAAATAAATATTGGCATTTTGTGTCCATTTTTTAAAAGCTTAACAACTATTATTTTTGTGAAGATGACATATGTTAATTATAAATAAGTGAAACAATTAAGAAAAGTACAAAAAGTTAAAATGTCATCTAAAATTCCACCACCTAAAAATTAATATTGTTAATATTAGAGAAAACATTATTCTACATACTTCTCTATAGCTATATACATATAGAAATTTTAATTAAAATCATTATTTTTAAATAGAATCAAGCTGTTTTTAATTAAAAGTATTAAATTTAATTTTACTTGAATTTAAGTGAATAAAAAGAAATAAAAGTAGCTATAAAGGAATTGCTGAGCTTCAAATAAATGCTGCTTCATCCAGAAGAGAGGTTTCTTCCCAAAGGACCCCTTTCTAAGGTGGTAAGAAAAAAAGATTATGGGCCGGTGCAGTGGCTTATGCTTGTAATCCCAGCACTTTGGAAGACCGAGGCGGGTGGATTACCTGAGGTCAGGAGTTCAAGACCGGCCTGACCAACATGGTGAAACCCCTTCTCTACTAAAAAATACAAAATTAGCTGGGTGTGGTGGCATGTGCCCGTAATCCCAGCTACTTGGGAAGCTGAGGCAGGAGAATCGCTTGAACCCAGGAGGTAGAGGTTGCAGTGAGCCAAGATCGCACTGCTGCACTCTAGCCTGGGCAACAAGAGCGAAACTCTGTTCCAAAAACAAAAAGATTATGAAAAATATTATGAGTTTTCTCATTAACTTTCAATTTTGAGTTCTATTAACTCATTGCTTTGAAAAACCCTATCCAGAATCCAATCCAGTATCGCAAATGGTCATGTCTCGTAGCCTCCTTTAATTTTAAACTGTTTCCCAGTCTTTTCCTTTCATGGCATTATTCTTATTACATTTTATTTGAGACAGACTCTCACGCTGTCACCCAGGCTGGAGTGCAATGGCACAATCTCAGCTCACTGCAACCTCTACCTCCTGGGTTCAAACAATTCTCCTGTCATGACATTGATATTCCTAATAGTCCAGGTCAGTTTTCTTTTTTTTTTCCAAAATGTCTCTTAATTTGGATTTATCTGATTGCCTCTTTATTGTCGGATTTAAGTTAAATATTCTTAGCAGGATTACCACATAGGGGATATTCCTAAGGAATTAATTTTTCCTACAATTGTAGTAGCTTAACAAAGATGTATATTGACATTAAACACCGTGTAACAGATTTTGTGGAATACAGTGTGTCTTTTTTAATTCCCAGATTTAGTTCCATCTGCATTTCAGGGAAATTCTTTGTATCTTATCTTTATATTTCTATTGTTTCATTTGTTGGCTCTCTATACAAGATCATCTGTGTTAGTCTTTCATATCTGTTAACTTCTCTAATTGTGTTAATGTCCTTGGCGTTTTCTTCTGCATACACTGTGATTACCTCAAGCCTCTCCTCTGTCAGTGACAGGGTTTTGTGGGGTTTTGTGGGTTAGCAATTCAGTTCCTCGCTGTTTCCAATCTACTAGTTTTGCAACATGCTGCTTTATTCATTTCCTAAAATCCGCAATCTCCCTTTTATCTCATTCTTGAATTTTATCATTTCAGCGTTCAGCTTTTTTTTAATTGAATTCCTGATCTTATGAAGCTGTAGTAGAACATGGTGCTGCTGTGAGGAATCTCCTCCTGTTCATTCAGTTATGTTTTCCTCTTTTGCACGCTTTGTTCCTCTTTTTTCTTTGATGTAATGGGCTTGCAGTTGCCATGCAATTTCTTTTCATTTTGCTCGTGCTTGGGCAGCAAGCATGTGAACTCATTCTTTTTGCTCTAATGTACTGTGGGTGACTTGACCTCCCACTGTGAGAGACGAGTTTATTTTTGCCCCTGGAAATCAAAGTAAAAGGGTTGGGTGTTTTATGTTTTATTCACTTTTCTTTGACCTAAGAGAATTGCCTCAGGGAATGGACAGATGGTTAGTGCTAATTTAACGCAGGAAAAATCTTTGTTAAAACACCTAGGCTTTTATCCTTTTTTTTTTTTTTTTTTTTGAGATGGGAGTCTTGCTATGTTGCCCAGGCTAGATTTGAACTCCTGGGCTCAAGTGAACCTCCTGCTTCAGCCTCCAAAGTAGCTGGGACTAAAGGCAAAGGCCCATCTTTCTCTCTACTAAGATTTTATTATACCCTTTCAAGTTCATTCCATGTAGCTGGGGGAGCACCATGCCTGAGGGAGGACATTCCTTTGACTCAGTGCATATGCTTTTCATTGGTCACCCATTTTTAAAGTGTATTAAATTAAAATTATACTTCTTTGTTTACTCTCAGGGCTTTTTTGTGGGTTTTTTTGGTTGTTTTTTTTTTTTTTT